CACATTCCCCTATCACCATTATCATGAAGCTAACCACGATCAGATTAGATTGTAGGATCGGAGCCCTACTCATCACCAACCCTTGATCACGGAGGAAAAGCCATCCGATGAGTTTCCGGAGCGGACCCAGCACCCGATACGGAGATGGTGGATTGGATCAAGTCGGCCTCAACTGTTACAAAGAAGGGAGATATAGATCAATATGCGCACCTCATGTGGTCCCGGTGTCTAGACCTCGCCTGGCTGGGGCTGCAGGTTTTTTGAGACTTTTTCCCGCGCACGCAGTTTCCATTGCTACCATTTTTTTTGGGGGGGGGGAGGGGGTAGAAGGTTCCGTGGAAAAGGTGGCCGAATTCCACGGGTAAACACTGAGCTGAATGGCTATTCATTACGGGCAATATATCAATGATCTTTCAATAACAAAAGAGGAAAGGAGCACTGTACAAGGTGTGGCCTGGGTCAGAGAGGAGCCCAATGTGCTTGATAGTCTAAGACTGAAATAGTACAATAAAACACAGACACACACACGCGAGTCGATCCCTTCCGTATTTGTTCTCAGCTTGGGTGAATATGCTGGCGCCGGTGGTGGCTCTGGAATCTCAGCCTCTACTAGTGGCAGTTGTCGAAATGCTCGTTGGATCCGAGTCTCCAGCTTTTTGCATGTTCTAGCCCTCAACTTGTACATTTGTGTGCTTATATTGGGACAGGCGCTTGCTTGACCATGTAACGGATGGCAGTCTTCGAGAGTATTAAGCCGCGCAGCTAGCCTGAGCTGATTTCCTTCGAGCAGCACCCTAGCTGATGGGATGCCTTCCTTTCTGTGCAGAGCTGCGTTCGGTGTGTTGGAAATGGAGACACAGAGTGTTGTGGACATACGGGCCCTCCATTTCATCTAGGTTCCCGACACGATCTTGTGTGTATGTAAGAGGTTGGAATAGGTAATATGGTAATATGGTAGCGCTTCAGGCTACCTATTGGAGACATGAGCGGCTGTATGGCGTGGGCGCAAGGAGGTTATTGGGGGTTTTCTGTGCCTAGATGGCGCCACACTCGTTTATGCTGTGGTTTAGGCTCTGTGTCGCTTACACTTGTACTTGTAGCGCACATCTCCCACACTTTTTGCTGTAATCTGAACAGGACACTCTTTTAGTTAACTCCTACTTTCGTTCCATAAATATTGCGCCCATTTCATTGCGCGATATTTCCAACACGGTGTCGTCTTCCATACTGGTAAAGCCACCCTCAGCGCAAGGAGTAATGCCTTATCTATCTGACTGTAGAGATGAATGGTTTGCGGCGTAACAATTCCAGAAACTGTTGGTGGAATCATTCCTGGCCATCAAACGTCGGCCCCAAATGTAGCAACAGGAATCACGCACGCATCGACTATGGTCATTAGGGGCCCTAGATCAACTCCCCGCTTGACTGAGTTTAATTTTCGCATGTGCTGTGCCACCCTAGGTGCTTTCACACACCATGTTGCCACATGATGTTTGAAGGATAGCCGCGGGTCAAGGTGTACCCCGAGCCAACAGATGTGGTCGGTGGGTTCAATCATAGTGCCGTTAAATATGACGCCGACAGTATCCTCACAGCATCTCCCACGAAATTGAACCAATTCTTAAATGAAGGAGTCGAAGGACACAGCATTATTATTTCCCCATTCCAGAATATTTTCCACCTCCTTCTGCGTTGCAGCTGCTGACTCTAAGATAGTCCGTCTCATTCCAAGAATTCCAATGCCATTAGCGTAGCTGAATCGCGCCCTAGTATTTCCGCTTCGCATAGGCTCTGTCATGTAGAGTAGGAAGAGTAGCAGTGAGATCGGAGAACTCTGGGGCAGGCCACACACCAACGTTGTCGCTTTAGTAACCCCCCATGATATCTAACTTGAAACTTCCTGTTATGCAAAAAGTATGTTGTCCAGCAAATAATAAAATCAGGCCGTCCTTGTGCTTGCATCAGCCATAGCAGTCGATTCTGCAGCACTGCACCAAAAGCTCCCTGGAAATCTATCGTCACAAATGTCGATGCCCATCATTAAGAGCGAGCTTCTTCTATATCATTGTAAGGATTCCACTTCCGATCCTTCCTTCAGTCTATAATTTTACCATTCTTTCTATGTTGCTATGACAACAGTACAGTCCTTGACACATGGTATCATGTTGATAATGGGTTAAGGTCTATGTTATGATGAGCTAGTGGAAGGAGGGCAGGTATATCTATGATGGCATGGTATCAAACTGTGGATAGTTTGAAGGCGATTAACGTCAGATATAAAGCTTAAGGAGTCAGGTTTACAAAGCTTGGAGTTACTTCTTTCGAAAAAAGGTGTTTCGCTTAGGCTGTAGCAATAAGAACTCTATCTGTTCTGACTAGAGATGTTTCGTTCCAAACCATGAGAAGCTTGGTCTATGGGGACAAGTTGGGGACACATAGAGCATTTGCCATTTTCTAGACGTACATAATCTAGATAGTATCAGTAAGAGAAATGGCAGCCAGGAATTAATTGACACTTTTTACTTTTACTTCATACATTTTTCAATTGACTCGTAGAGTCTAACACATGGTCTGTAGATATGAAGTTCTCTACGCTTAGTCTTCTGTCACAACCACCACCTTCGGATCACCTCTGGTCACCTATAGTCACCTCTAGTTACTTTCGGCACCTTTAGTCACCATTAGTTTTTGCTCGTACCTTTAGACTCTTTAGACACTTATATTACCCATTTTTAAACCTTTAGTTCTCCAAATTATCTCCAGTAGATCTTTAGTCATCCCTCGCGACCCATCCGACCTCTTCTCGCCCTTCTATTCCGCTTCAGGTCAAACGCCTACGCTCCAAATTGACAATCATGTAACACGCAGTGTTAAGTGGCTCGGGTTGTGTTAAACAGGTATGGAGTTAGATTAAGGTACTTGCGGCAGTCTGGCGTTGTGGAAGCACTGATGACATACTTATTAATACTCGCTTAATTCCAATCTCATTATATATGTAGCTTGTAGGCAGAGATTTTATTTTATTTTTTATTATTATAGTCCTATCTGAGTCTACGACTATAGAGGACTTCTAGCTTCTAAATGAAAGAGACTAATAAATTTCGATAAATTCAACCATTTTAATTCCCAAAATTTTCTTATAGATAGTGAGGAACTTGTAGGCAGAGCTTTGCCCTTTAGCTTTATTACCTTTTAAATATTGAGTTCTTACTTGCCATAACTAGCGTGTCATAACACGCAGGAATCGAGATCTGTTGCAAAGCGTTTTAGTAGCGCTACGACCTACTGGTGCCATACCACGTCATTTGAGATGGCGAGATGTGACATCCGTTTGGCTATTAGCCCCTCTAAGCTTTTTCCAAGGCAATGGAGAAGGGAAATTGATCTCCATCCCTTCGCGGACGCCTGGTTGCGTCCGGCCTTCGATAGAAATACTACTTCGGCAAGTTTGAAATACGACAGGTGGTGACCGAGTCTAAGGCATGCCTAGAAGAGCTGAGTGACGTAAGTGCCAATGCAGTCACATCAAGCCGCAATCAACTCAAATGAGATCCCATCCGCACCTAGGCTATTGTTACCATTGCCGATGGTACAATTCCTTACTTCTATCTCTGTTAACGCTACCTCCCATTGTATCTATGCATCGCTCGATTACGCGCAAGGAGGCATATCGTCTGATGCTGAGTACCGTGTGAGAATAGAGTCTCGGAGGAGCACTGCCCGGTCTGCTTGGTTAGAGACTAGTCTTGCCTCGTGCAGAAGCGGAGGTTGGACCTTGGGAAGTCTCGGGTTTGACTATTGCATCAATTTGAATATGTCTGTCGTAGATCACATGGCCTCCACTCTCTTTTTTCAGTGCTCTCTCTTGGCCGAGGCTACTGTGGCCCTCAGGACTTTCGTATTGCTTTTGTGCCTGCTTCTTGGTATTCTAGGTGTACGGTCCTGCGCTGCCGAGTCCACTATGGTGCTGACTTGCCACTTTCAAGCGTCAAGCTCTTGCCGCACGCTTTTAACCCACCTGTTAAGGCTCGGCTTATTTCTGCTGCATAGTTGTTTGTTTGTAGGTGTGAGCTTACTGTGCTACTTGAGTCTTTGATTACGTAATACATTGGGCTCCGGTGACGCTCTATAAGCCCACAAGCCCACAAGTCTACAATATATACTAAGATAGCTATATACTGTACAAGATCATCGATTCTGCTTTAGGTCAGATGGCACTGTAGTGAATCTAATCAGCCTCGATTACAATCATTCCGCGTTGTGTGCGCCTCAATTTCTCTTCGGCCTGTGCCATACATTGCATGCAGCCGCAGATTCATTTTTTGATACTTACAAGATTTTTAATATATCATCCGTGATGAATATCATTTCGGCTCAGTACACACGTGTGGAATTCAGCCACCTTTTCTCCAGGTCCCTTTACTCTAAAATAATAAAAATGGTAGCAATTGAAACTGCGTGCGTGGGAAAAAGTCTCAAAAAACCTGCAGCCCCAGCCAGGCGATGACTAGACACCGGAACCACATGAGGTGCGCATATTCATCTAAATCTCCCATCTTTGTAACATTAGTGGCCATCTTGATCCAATCCACCATCGCCGTATCGGGTGCTGGGTACGCTCCGGAAACTCATCGGATGGCTTTTCCTCCGTGATCAAGGGTTGGTGATGAGAAGGGCTCCGACACTACCATCTGATCTGATCGTGGTTAGCTTCACGATGATAGTTACAGGGTATTGTGCTGAGAGATACAGACGATGTAGACCGCGATGGCGTTGGGGAATTTTAATCGAAGTGAGGACGAAGGCGTCACTCAATCTCGGCTTCATAGGCTCTACAGTGAGAGCTAGAGTTTCGTAGGAGACACCACCGACGGATGTTAAGTTTTTGTTACCCACGTCTCAATTGGAATAAAAAATAAACTGTGTTAAAATCACAGAGCAAAATTTTCATTTAAATACCTATTGATGCTCGAGGGTACTTCAGGTCTCTCGAATCAAAGCTAATCCAAAACAGTGGCATCTTCTCCTCTTTCATCCTCTTCCTCTATCTTGCCCACCATACCCCTTGCCCATAGCTGCTTACCTGTTAGAGCCACAACAATATCTTTTCCTTTATTTTTCTTCTTCTCTACTGCATCTTCTTGTTCATCTTCTTTTCTCTTGATCTCTTCCATTTCTTTCTTGAATTCTTCGCGCCAGCTTGCAAATGTTTCGGGAGTAACTGGAGTGCCGTAAAACTTTTTATTCTCTTCTCTTTCGATTTCCAACCGTTGCTGTTCCTGGTCTTGCTGCCATTTCCTTTGGCGATCTGCTATCAGTTGTTCAGCATTTTCTTTGAGTGTAGAAACAAGCGTGAAAACCATCGCCATTCCCATGTAGTCTGCCACAATTTCTTTTAAACTGTCGAGTAAAGTTATCTTGTCTTCAGAAAGGTTGAAAAATCGATGCGGGGACGCATTTGGTGGGCGGAGGAGGTCCAAAATAGGTGGCTCATCAGGATACTCAGGAGGATATTCTACCCGCAGAAGTACAATCAAAGGCTCTGTATGTTCTTCATCGATGCAGGAGATATCTAAATGAATTGAGATCCGATACTCTGTGTCTGATATGTCTGATGATCCGTTGTTAGTCCAAGCTGAGCATGCGTTGTTGGCACTGCCTCAAAACTCGTGACTTCAACTGATCCACTAGACTTGCCTTGTATTTCATCGGGAAAAATGCTGTCGAGTATTTCCCGCTCTTCTATTTGTAGTTCCCTTCCCATCGCGACTTATTGACCTAGTCAATCGTTGTGTTGTGTTAGGCAATTTGAGTGCATGGGCCTTTGTCGCTAAAAAAATTGCTTACAACTACTACAACTAATAATTTCGTCCTGGAATTATTCAAAAATGCCGTCCGCTACTCCCACCATTGCAGAGAAATCTGGTTCCAAGAGAAAGACTGCACCAATAAAGAACAATTCTTCGAAAGAAAATAAGAAAGCTAAAACGACTTCCGAATTAGAGATAAAGAGTAAATCAAAAACAAAGTCTACTTCACCAAAAATAATCAAGGATAAAGGTGAGGAAAATTCTCACGAGTCAACCCTCAGGAGAGCCATCCACAACAATGTAGCAAGCAAGGCATTATCAGAAGATGATGAAAATTTCGACGAGGAATCGTTGCCCAAAGCTGAGGATGGGTTGCATCCAGATAGAGTAAAGGCTGTGGCACAAAATAGTTTGTTTATCACATATGGATATACATAAAGTTACTAAAAAAAATAGATCAATCCTCCAGAGAAGCACATGCAAAACAGAAACAACTGGCATTGGAAAGAAAAGCTGCAAAACCACTAGCAGACGATCTTGCAAGAACTAAAAAGATATGGGAAAGGCTACGCCGAAAATCCCACGTTCCGCTTGATGAAAGAAAGCAACTAGTCACTGAACTTTTTGCAATAATAACTGGGAAAGTCAAGGACTTCGTGTTGAAGCACGATAGTGTTAGAGTTGTGCAAACTGCGATTAAATACGCAAATCAAGAGCAAAAGCGAACGATTGCAAAAGAGTTAGCGGGGACGTATCGGCAACTTGCAGAGAGTAGGTACGCTAAGTTTCTGATCGGAAAACTACTAGTCCAGGGAGATGATACCATTAGAGACATTATTGTTCCTGAATTTTTTGGCCACGTGCGGCACCTTATCAAGCACTATGAAGCCTCATGGATACTTGACGATATTTATAGAGGAATAGCGACTAAACAACAAAAGGCCTCACTCCTAAGGGAGTGGTATGGTGCCGAGTTTGTACTTTTCCGGAATATCTCGGATCAGACAACAGATCAACTTTCAGAAATACTGGAGGCTGACCCCGGAAAAAGAAGTCCTATAATGCGCTCTCTTACAGAAATGATTAATCAGCTCATACAGAAAAAGATGACAGGCTTCACGCTTCTTCACGATGCGATGCTTCAATACTATCTGAATATCAAAAGTGGCACTAATGAAGCTACTGAATTTATAGAAATGATCACTGGTGATGAGGGAGATCTATGCAAAAATCTTGCATTCACAAAATCAGGGTCTCGGTTGATGGCTCTCATCCTCGCACATACAACTGCCAAAGATCGAAGGCGAATCCTAAAGGCCTACAAGGAAACTTTTCAGGCAATGGCTACCGATCAGCACGGACACATTGTTATACTCGCAGCGTATGAAGTTATAGATGATACTGTTCTAACAGCGAAATCAATATTTCCAGAGCTATTGAGCAAAGATACCGATAAACAGACTGAAAATATAGTCTCTTTCGTGAATGATCTCAACGCTCGGACCACCATACTGTACCTATATCAAGGGCGGTCAAAAGCACTCTTTCCAAATAGCCATTCTTCTGACCTAGATATTCTTACAGAAATTGACGTAGCTCGTAGCTCTACCAGTAAAAAAGATCCAATCATTCGCAGAGCTGAGCTAGCCAAAAGCTTATCGCCATATGTCCTCAAAGCTATCGAAAATGCAGCGTCAGATCTAGTACAAACATCGTTTGGGTGTCAGTTCATAACAGAGGTACTTTTTGGATCGGATGGCGATAAGTCAGCCGCTTTGGAATCCGTTGCATCTACAGCAGTAGGAAACCCTTCGTCTTTATATACAGACGCTGGAGACGAGACGGAAACAAACGCCATGAATCCTGAAACAATCGGCCATATTGGTACTAGGTCACATGGAGCTAAGATGCTCAGGTCACTTATTGCTGGCGGTAGATTTGACCCTAAGCGCAAGGCGATTGATCCAATCGTACCTGCACTTAACTTTCCAGATATTCTATACCCACACATCAAGGATCATATTGTTGAATGGGCAACGGGTCCAGCTTCTTTTGTTATACTCGCGTTAATCGAATCAGATAACTTTTCGCACAAAGAGAAAGTGATGGCGCAGTTGCGATCTGCGACAGAAAAATTACAAAAAGCTTCTAGTGATGAAACCTTGGGGCAAAAAGCATCCCGAAGTGCTGTGGAAGAAGGGAGTACGAAGAATAAGAACTTTGTCACGGGCAAGAATGATAAGAAATCTTTGTCATCGAAGAAACAGGTCCAGAGTGGAAATAAAGGATCGCAATTAATACTTGGCCTCTTGTAATTTGAATATAGAAAAATATGATGTCAATTCTTACCTTAGCAATATTTACTAAAATCGCAAAGAGGATTACCCCTTATAAGCTGACTTCGGTTTATCAAAATAATTGCCTCTTAAGCGAACTTCTTTGTCCTATGTGACGTATCCTTGTCAGGCGTCTAAAATTTGATATGAAATGGTATTTTAGCCTTTTTAGTTTGATTTTGTAAACCTGATTTGGTTTCCTCTAGGTTCACCGAGGTGTATATGAACTTTAATATAAACATTGAAGGAAACCTCTCGATGGAAGCTCCCAAAGCTTCCTGTTTATTGTCTTTGTTTTTCTTACTTGTCCCCCAGGATGCACAATCATACTATAATGCAATCCATGTAAGTCAATAAAATCCTTTCTATTGACCCCAAGGGCTGCTTGCCGGTTATCTTTGCCTACGCAGCACATAGATCCCCTTTGACACCTGCTATTATTCTACTAAACTTTAATCTAAGGTCCACCATATAACTATTTTGATGTCAGCAAGATTATCTATCATTGCTTCGAAGGACCTATTCTTGGTTTATCTCCTAATTTTTCCTGTGCTATTTGACTATCAACAAGATGTAATCATGTGTTTGGGATTCTGTGTTTGATAGCCACCCAGATAGCTTCGGCTGTAGACTGCTGATGACTTTTTTCTTTATAAATACGTGTTGGACCCCAGCCACTCGCTTCACATTTGTACTAGAATAGTTTTGGGATCAGTGGTATTTTTGGTTTATTTATGGGAACATGGTAGATCAGATGCTCATGGTAGCACCCTAGCAACTCTATCAGTGCGTGCAACATAGATATTTTAGTGTCTAATCAAATGTTTATTATCAAGAAACGGGGACTCGAGTACTTGAAGCTGATAGTTTTTGTACGTTTATTTATCTAATGAGCCTATGGCCATGCAAACCATATGGGTCCTTTCTGCCTATAGGCCGAGAGAATTTATGCCTTGTGTGGTGTACTTGTTAAATTTGGTGCTTCCAATTATGGTAAGGATTGGGATATGTAGAATACACGTCACTAATCTCCCATTCATTCATTTCTCTAGCTTAACGTCTTATACGGTACCTTTTTACAGAACCATGAAGACGGTAAGCCATATTAAGAAGGGAAGGAGCTTTCAAGCAACGAAGCCTGCTGTCCTTGTTGGTACTGCGGGTTCCACTTGGTTTAATGCCTCAAAAGTGCTAAAAACAAGTGGTGTAATTCTATCTATCCCCTCTTGTTTTCTTTCCTAAAGCACTGATATCTAAATTACAAAACGGAGCTTAGCGCCTGATGTTAATCACGTGATAAAGGACCAATGCTAATTGAAGTATCATCCAAGACAAGTCTTTTATTCTTACACCATTCACCTATAAACCGACCCGGCTTTGTGCTGAGGACGCTCTTTTCAACTATAACTTTACAAATTTTCCCCAAATTTCGTTAACTCCCCCTTCGATCAGACTATTGCTAGGAGTAATTGAAAAGATAAGGCACCTCCTCACTCGGCGTTGGTCGACGAAGCGTTCGAAGAGTCGGCCCCGATGGTGCCGCTGGGGCTTCAACTACTTTTCGCGGTCGTTCCGGCCCTCTTCTAAGTCTTTCAGTGTTCTTACTGGTGACCAAAGTGAATCACTGATCATCTGTCGTCCGAACTGTTTGCTTGGGTTCCGCTGGAGGTTTCTCATTCCAGATTTCTGCCGTTCTTTACAGAAGCTCTATCCGAGCCTTTTCCATACTTTCTTTGTAGACATGATGAGTCCGACATGCCGCTTTATGCTATGAACGATGCTCCTTGCTACAGTTGTAGCACTGCTTTGGTTGGGCCCGCGGTGACCACACTTGCGGAGTGAAGAGCATGGCATTGATGATACGACCATGTCGAACCACTAACGTTTGCATTATCTCCGATGGGAGACCGACCACTATTTTTTTTTTTGAATCATTTAATGTGTATTCAGCTATCTAGCTATGACACATGATCGGTGCTATGTATACATGTGGGATGACTCTTTTGACGTTAGAGATACTCATACTCTGGATTTCATTTGAAAATACCACTATGAGTTATGTTCGCTTACACAAACAGTCGACCCTCCTCCATTAGTACCCACCAAAGGGAATTCAAAAACCTTTGGTTATCCAAGCATATCAGCGCCGCGAGAAAAGTGGTTGTGTTTTGCTGGATTTGAACCAGCGATCTACTGTCTCAAGTGGGATATGTGTCCAAGCTATCCAGACTCTACTTGGCAGACCGGCCAAAACGATGTACCACCGCACCATCCAACCATGGCAATGTTTATAGTGTCGCCTGCACTCTCGAAACCGAAGTCATGGCACGCACAAAGCTCAATTTGTAAAAACTCCTTGCTAAAACTCAAAATTCCACGCCCGTCGAGACTGTATCCATCCTTCGCATCATCTTGTGAACTTGTCCTGAAACCTCTCATGTCCATCCCAAAGAACAGTCTCCTAGATTTGTGCGCCATGCCTTACTTCCTCTGTCGGCTGTAAATATTGGCGTGGGCGTGTATCTGGCGACCAGCTAAGGCCAGAGAAGGTCGGCGAGAGGTGTGGCCATTGGAATGAGGATGTACTAGGTCGTACTTGTAAACTTGATGAGGCTTAGGTAGGAATCGATTTCGTTGGGAGTGAAAGATTGATATGGTGGAGTATTTTGAATCATTGCCTCGTGGGCCAACTTGTTCGGTATTGCGAAGTTTGACTTTGTTTGACTGAACTTGGCTCTGGGAGAATATTTCACTCCCAGGTTCGTAGAGGACACCGCGTACAGGTGTTCAGTCTTGCCCTCCACCAACCACTATTGATCCACGAGTGCGGCTGTTTTCCTTTTACCGCGCGTGTTCTATTCCGTCATGTCACCACCCAATGCAATTTGTTGCTAGACCGGGATTCGAGCCCTAGTTACCGTTTCAATCTCCCTGATGATAACGTGGTTGCCAGCACCCCTGCCGCCCTCAATTTTTGTCCGCAGTGGGACTCAGAAAATGTCGGCTTGAAAGTCAGTTGGTTGTCGCATATATAGCGCCGCATCCTTCTGAGACGCCGACTGGACGAACACTTCCGTGTCGTTACTGCGCATCTGACGAATTGCGTATGCGCCATCGATATGCTCTTTCGCTCTTGATAGCAGCTCTTCAGGCTAAAATTTATCAGCTCCCTTGATTCTGATACGTACCGCTGTATTAGTCATTTACGGAGCTACGACCGACGCGTGGGTCCTTAAGTGTGGCATCCCACTGCCACTCCCGATGCAGCATTATGAATAGGATCCGCGAGGCTCTTCTTGACAACCTTCTTTAGTACCATCATCCCCTCCTCAATTGGAGACTTCTTCAAGAGAATTTCCGTCCAGGCCCTTTTGTGCGCGTTGAAAGCCTTCACGGCCTCGTTCACATCCTCCATTGATGGCAAGTCCTCCTTATCTATCTAGCTCTTGACGATTGGTCTAATCTGTATCAATAGTTTCCCTAGGATTTCAAGGATCATGTCCTTTGGAGCTCTCTATGCTCCACTTCCGCTGTTTGAGGCCGCCATTCTCGCTTTTTTTTTGCGACGCGTTGAAACCGCTGGATTTTACCCACACCAGCACTCACACTCGCCATGGGAGGACAAATGTTGAACACCTGTCAGTGGTGTCTTCTACGAACCTAGGAGTGAAATACTTTCCTAGAGCCGAGATTCAGACACGACAAAGGGTGAACTTGAGAGCTTTCGTCCGGTTGGCGATAGGGAGGAGTGGTGTTGGCTCATTTTTGGTCGAAAATCCGACTTGCAGAGATTTCACGACTGCACAACTCAACGAAATCTACTATCTACACCCCAGACACGAACCGCGGACAGGCTATAACTTGTCTGATGTTCGTATTACAACAACAGACATCTTCAAGATCTTATTTTCTTTTTCTCCGGAAGATCATTCCCAGCCAAACTCATCTTGCGGCCCTCTCTACAATCATCTCACCACCTACCGAAGCAATCCCATACCTGCAAAAGCCAAATCGCCAATAAAGAAGCAAGAGGATGTCCGACCCTCCGCAACTGCTAGTCTCTGTGAAGGTACGGTCGAAATACCGGCCTTAGATGCGTCCTCACCTCGGCCAAGGGCACCAACAACTCGACCTGTGACGAATAGCCACCGACGAAATACGTACGACATTTCACCGGCACACCAACTAGAGCGTTCATCAGAGGCAGGGGCACCGGTGCCTCGGTCTTGAGCTCCCAGTCACGGCTTCGACCTCCACAGTCAGGGGTACGGCAGCGGCGGGGCAATGCCGGAGGGGTGGACATTCTACAAAGTTTCTGGAGGACGAGATCGACTGAAGGATAAAGGGATGCTACATGAAGGAACAGAAGGGACACAAACTGAGGAGGCCGCGGTGGGCGACTGGATGAGGCCTTCAATGAAGAAAAAGACCCCTGGATGAGATGAGCCAAAGCTAGGACTGATTGGAAGGGAAAAGTTACAGATCGCAAAGTTATCAAGGGCTCGGGCGCGTGGTGGCCGAGGCTGAGGAGGATTTTGGGCTTCGGCGCGTCAAAAGGGGGTTCTCTGGACGGTTGGGCTTGACATGATTCAACACATGGGTGAAGTCTGAGGTGGTCCGGTCAAGAAGACAAATCGGGATAATTCTACCTCTTACTCCTGCAGAACTTCACACCATCAGAGAACGCGTACATCGTGACTACCACGCTGCTCTAGCCTACTCAGAAAGGAAGGGTAAGGCAGTTGAAACTATTAGAGTATGGTTCCTTTACGCGGGTAATACAGTGGTACTGGAAGTAGAATTGATAAAGTATAGGGTTAACAGAACGTATATATTACTCTGCACACACAGCATTTTAGAATGCTGCGACTGCACTCCTACTAATATGTGTCCAGCAGTCTCGCATACACGCTGATATGAAACTACTAATACAGGGTATATTAGATCTCCAAACGCCTCACCCAATTTATTCTTAGGTA